CCAAAAAAAGATCCAAAATTATATCCAACTTCAAAATTACATCCAAGTCCAAAATCATGTCCAAGTCTAAAACCGTAACCAAACCTGTTGTAACTAAATCCAAGACCAAAATTATAACCAAGCCTAAAACCGTAACCAAACCTACTATAACTAAATCAAAACCTCAACAAACCTGAACTACTCGTGTAAAAGCAATTGAGTCCGCTCTCAAGGCACTTGCTAGCTCTGAAAAGCTTAGCATTCGGGAAGCTGCATTAAGATTTGATGTTGCTGCAACAACTTTAAGGCGTGCCATTAAAAATAATAGCTTGCCCAATCGTCCCGGTCCTTCAACGATCTTAAGCACCCACGAAGAAGAACAATTAGTAGGCTATTGTAAGAATATGCAGAGGTTAGGATTTGGCCTTACACGATCTGACGTAAACCATTGTGTGATGACAATTGTAAGAAGTAACAACCATAATCATCCTTTTAAAGATGGTAAGCCTGGTAAAGCCTGGTGGACACGTTTTATGAGAGATCATTCCGATTTGTCATTTCGTACACCTCAGGCTTTATCCGAGGCACATGCACAGAGAGCTAACCCGACTATAATTAAAGACCATTTTGACAAACTCAATAAAATAATTCAAGACAATTTACTTACCCCTGATAGAATTTGGAATATGGACGAAACTGGTTTCGTTATAACTCCAAAAGTCCAAAAAGTTCTTCCTAAGAAAGGCTCCCGTCAGGTCCATAAAGTTTCTCACGGCAACACACATGAACATATTTCTGTTGTCCCTATGATTTCGGCTGCTGGCAGCTACATCCCCCCATTAATTATTTACAAGGGTATTCGTGCAATTCCTAATTTGTTAAATGGTGCCTCTGCTAGTACTGTTATGGGTTTTACCGACACAGGGTATATGAAAGAAGAACTATTTCAAATGTACATCGAACATTTTATCAACTCTATTCCTCCTCGTCGTCTAGTTCTTTTAATTCTTGACGGTTACAAAAGCCACATAAACTATATATGCGTTAACTTTTGTAATGAAAATGGCATATTGCTATATGCGCTTCCTCCCCATACTACACACATTCTCCAACCTTCTGAGCTTCCTTTTTCTAAACTTAAAACGGAATATAGCAATGCTTGCAACAAAATTCATAATGACCATGGTGAGCTGGTAACAAAACACACATTCGCCAAAATGTTTGGACAAGCATTTACAAAAACTTACATACCTGAAGCAATTATTAATGCTTTTAGAGCTACGGGGATTTGGCCTCTTAATCCTAATGCTATTAATCCAGAACATCTTAATCCCTCTTTATCTACAGAACGAATTAATATTTTACCTTCATTCCAACAAACTGGTCAAGAACGTTTTCAAATGCTATTCCGTCTTTTCAACAAAATCCATATTCCTCTATCCCGTCATCTCAACAAAATCCATATTACTCTATACCGTTTTCTTAACAAAATCCATATTCCTCAGAATCGTTTTCTCAACAAAATCCATATTCCTCAGAATCGTCTTCTCAACAAAATCCATATTCCTCAGAATCGTCTTCCCAACAAAATCTATATCTCTCAGAATCGTCTTCTCAACAAAATTTATATCTCTCAGAACCATCTTCTTATCAAAATACATATTCCTCCATACCGTCTTTTCATCAAAGTCCATATCCTTCTCCTCATTCAATTCATATATCATCTTATCGACCAATTCATATATCGTCTTCTCACCCACTTCATTATTATTCTATACCATCTTCCCATTCAAGTCCTCAAACTAGTATTACAGGAGAAAATGAATTATTAAGGGTGGAAAATGATTCTTTAAAGCAAGAAAATACGTTATTAAAAGAAGAGCTTGAGACATTCAAAAATCCCGGTACCTGTTCTCTAAAATTAGCCCTTAAGTATCCTACTTTTCGAGCTCCAACAAAAACAAATGAATCAACATCCAATCAGCCAAAAAAAAGAAAAACCTTTCCCTTCGCTCGACTTCTTACTAATGAGGATACTCTACAAATGTTAAAAGAAATAGACGAGTTAGCAAAGAGTAAAGTAGAAAATGCAAAACGAAGAAAAGAGGAGGCGGCCCAAAAAAAAGCCGACAGAGAAATAAAAAAAGCACAAAAAAAGGCTGAAATTGAGAAAAGAAAAGAAGAACGTTTGCGTAAAAAAAAGAAATAACGATAACGTAATTCTTCATGCCGATCGTATTACAATATGGTATCACTAAAAAGATTCGCTTTTGATAAATTTGTATGTAAATTATCAATAATGTAATTTGCGCAATATGTAGATCTTAATACTAAACGGTGCGCCATAATACCCCCCAACCTAAAAAACATAACAGTTTTTAGATAGATTTTTGAAGTTTTTAAAGTCAAAAGTTTTTTTAGAAAATTTCGTTTTTTTTTGTTTGTCGACAAAGATTAAGTCGAATATTAGTTTATTTCAATAAAATTTTGGAATAATATTTTTTTCCAAAGAATTTTTACTATTAGCACTCTTAGGTGCGCCATAATACCCGTCCTGCCCTTATGTCTATGACTTTAATGGAAAGATATGCAAAAATTAAGGATAAAAAATTGAGTTATAGGTGGTATGTTTATGACTTTAATGGAAAGATATGCAGAAATTAAGGATAAAAAATTGAGTTATAGATGGAAAAAACAATATGAAAATATTAAACTTTTTAAGGAAACTTATTCCGATACTAAAAATCTTGATAAGTTACATAAAAAAGAATATGCGAGACTTTTGACTAATGCTTTACAAGACACTTTAAAGAATTGGGTAAAAAAGAAAAATAGTAAATTATTTGATACTAAAACTTGGAACGAATGTCAAAAGATATAAGTATTAGGTTTTTCTTGAAGACAATATTAAAGGTCATTATGGTACAACCGAATGATGCAGATAAGAAAGGTCAAGGTATTTCTGCTTAGCATACTTTAGGTAATAGATTATTATGTGCTATCGGTAAAGTTATTGCAGAATTATTACCTGATTGTTTTAGCTTTGAAAACTTGACTGTAGAGCAACTACAAGAAGTTAAAGATATTTAGGTTTTAACCTTTCATATGTATTAATAACGGTGTTACAGATGATGAATTGCATGAATTTGTAAAGGTCGAATTATTTTTAAAATACATTTTGGATGTATCACAATATGATAAAAAACAAGGCATGCCAACACAAATGTTAGAGGACATTTTAATCGATTTATTTTTCAGTAACAAAATTATGAGACTTTACAGAGAAATGCGTTGTTCTATGAAGATGGATGGTGAGTTTGTTAAATTCGTTAAAACTGGAGTTAAAGATTCAGGAGAAAGTATGACTCTTTTAATGAATACGGTACTGTTAATGTTCATTTTGATGTTTTTAATCGAATGGGATCAAGCTTCGATGCTTCTGTTGATGGGTGATGATGTTTTTTTTGCAAGCTAAAGTAATAAAAATGAGAAATATCTTGAAAATTCTAGACCCAAATTTAAGTTTAGTTATGAATGCAGATTACGATTTCCCAAAATATGGTGATTTTGCTAGTCAAATTATAACACCATGGGAAACAATGCCGAAAAATGGTTAGTAGGCAATATCATAAGAATGTTGAACATATCGACCCTATGGAGAAAATTAAAACGAACATGAAAGGTATTGAGAATTCTTTTTTGTATTGGTTACACTTTGAATATTTTCTTGTCTTTATACATTTGAACAAACTGCTTGTATCCATATTTAATGCTTACGACCAGTAGTTAAATTGCAGCAGTTGTAAAGTCTCTCCCTTTTTGTAACACCAGACATAATCTAGACTGGTTCAAGATCAAGGACCAAATAAACTTTTAGTCTCGGTTCAAAGACCGGTTGGGGCCAGTCTTTACTAGAACTGATTCAACCTATTTAGTAGACTCAATTTGAAACCCCAAATAGCAGCATCAGCCGTGACAATAAATGTTATTATACTCACTGATTGAAATAAAATAAATAACAGATATTTATGAACTTAAATAACTTATTTATAAGACATAAATTAATGAATACTCTTTATACTTACTGACTGTAGTATGTTAAATGAAATTAAATGGTAAAGATTCGTGAATTGAATCGCAGACTAAAATGAAATTAAATAGTAAATATTCGTGAACTTGAATATCTTATTTTAAATACATAGATTATCGCTCTTTCGATTTAATTGGATCGACTATCTTCATACTATTTTTTGGAGTCACATGAATCCGTGAATACAACATAGATACGTAGCCATTTTATGTTCGTCATATTTTGTGAAGCTTTTTTTATTGTTGGGGATGATGCTGAAAATTGGATGATCGTGAAATTCAAAATCCCATTGGCTGATCACCCTAACCCTAAGCGTTATTTTCACGACCATCTAATTTTCCACACATTTATTGATAAAGGGGAAATATATGAATAATTCTGTAATTAAAATGAGTCTCACGAAAGATGAAGTTGAAGTGACTACCATATTGTAATCACAGGATTCACGAGACTCAAAAAAAAAAAACTTATGAAGATCGTTGATCTAACTAAATCGAAAAGAGTAATAATAAAGCTCTTTATACTCATTCACTAAATTAACGCGAATAAAATGAAATGATGAAGCTGAGATTCATGTGATCTGCAATATAGATCATGGGGAATGTAACATTTAACACTTCCGACTCTAAGTCCTAGCTAAACCCTAAAACAAAGCAAACAAAAACACAAACTTTTTTATTTTTATATTTTAAATTGTTTCTTTGGTTTCGGTAAACAGATTCTTTTTTTTTTTTTTAGCAGGTGGGTTGAGTAAGTGGTTTTTTTTGGCGGATAGGTTTGATTAAAACATTCTTTTTTCACGGGTGTTTGGATAGGTAGTTTTTTTTCTTCAGTATAGCATTGAATAAGGTTTTTTTGAATAAGTGGTTTTTTGTTTTGACTGTTTGTTTTTTTGATGCATCTACCACGCAAATTATTATATGATATACAAAATGTGATGTTTTCTATTACTGTATTAACACACCTCATATTTACACAATCATGATCTACATTGCAGCCAATGTTCTTTATACTCACTAATAAAATGAAATTGAAGAGTAAATATTTATGAATCAGAACAGCTTATTTTAAATACTTAGATAAATAAATATTCTTTATACTCACTCACTAATGAATGAAATTAAATAGTAAATATTTATAAACTTGAATAACTTATTTTAAATATTTATGTTATTAATCATATAATAAATCCTTTTTATACTCACATACTGAAATGAAATTAAATAGTAAATATTTATGATACGTACGTAGCTTATTTTAAATACTTAGATTAATAAATGTTCTTTATGCTTACTGACTGAAACGAAATTAAAAAGTAAATATTCATAATTTAAATAGCTTATTTTAAATACTTAGATTAATAAATATTCTTTCTACTTACTAAATTAATGTAAATAAATAGTAAATATTTACAAATTTGAATATTATAAACCATTTAGAGACATCCAAAATCGCAACATACGTATCAATCATTGTGCGGATGATTTTGAAATTGGCTGACGCTAAAATTTGGTTTCAATTTGAAATTTAAACCCTGCTAAAACCCCACATACACTTTAATTATCAATTTTAGCTCAAAATCCTAAACAAAATAAAATTTAAATTTTCATATTAAAATAGGGCCAATTTTCAATATCAGCTAATTTTAGCATCAGCTGTAAAAATAATTATTTGGAAATTTACAAAAAAATATATAACTTTGTAGTCTTGATTAAGGTCTACAAAGTTACTTTTTTTTTGAGAGATATCATTTGAATTTTGAAATTATAAGTGGCACAGATTTGATGCGACTAGAATACTTTTGCGCTTACTATCTGTAGTACGTTAAATGAAATTAAATAGTAAATCGTTATGAACCTAAATAACTTATTTTAAATGCTTAGTTAAATGTTCTTTATACTTACTCACTAAAGAAACATGAATAAAATAAAATTAAATAGCAAACATTCATGAACTCAAAGAGTTTATTTAAATATTTAGTTTAATAAATGTTCTCTATATTTACCGACTAAAATGAAATTAAACATTAAATATTCATGAACTTGAACAGTTTATTTTAAATACTTATATTAATAAATGTTTTTTTTTAAATAAAACTAAATAGTAAATATTCGTGAACTCGAATAGCTTATTTTAAATACTTATTTTAATAAGTGTTCTTTATACCCACCGACTAAAATGAAATTAAATAGTAATTATTTATTTATGAACTCAAATGGCCTATGTTAAATAGATTGATAAAATCATTTTATACTCACACACTAAGAATAAATAAAATTAAATCGTGAATATTTATTAATTGAATAACTTATTTTAAATATTTAGATTAATATTTTTCTACTCAGGTTAAATTAACCGTATAAAATGAAATTAATAGTAAATACTCGTGTAAATTTTAAATAAATGTTCTTTACATTTACGAACTAAATATGAATGAAATCATATTGAGCCATATTATTAAAATAGAATTATTATGAACTATTGTAAATAAATGGTTTGGATGCTTAATATAATTATTGATCATTATACATACTCTCTAAAGAGTTGATTTTTTTTCAATTTTTAAAATTAAAATTGGAAATAACTTACTTGTTTATCCAATAATAATACTTATCTTTACTCTTTTCCACACCAACTCCATAATAATAACTAATGGCAGTTTTAAAAATTCCCACACAATTACCTGCCTCAGCCGATTTTAGATAAAATGTAAAGCTTTATATTTATCTATTCCAATTCCAAACCTAAAGAATAACAATAACTAACTTTATACTTTCCAAGAGAATTATTCATCTCTGCAGATGTTTGAAAATGAAGAAATGCCGTATTATTATTCTTTTCAACTCCAATCCCATGATCATAACAATAACCAAGCCAAAAATAATGCATTTGGGTCATTCATATTGGCCAACTTTTGACAGCCAATGGTATTAAATTCACCAAAATCATCAGTAACTTGGGCAATTTCATCTGATAAGGTCTTGTCTTTTATATTAGACATTTTGGATACGATTATATGTTACAGGAGAAGAAATAATTCGTCGAAATGTGAATGTAATACTTTGGTAAATAATATATCCTAAGTTTATATATCAAAACAATGTACCTAAAAATTATAGTAAGTACAATGAGCGTTATAAATTTCCAGAATTCGTACATACTATATACAATTCAAGTTTTTAATCAAAATAAAAAGTGATTCATGAAAATATTGTAGTTACATAACGTCAATTGTCTGCAGAAATGGAACCGAAAAATGGAAGTCAGAGACCAGCTCTCTGTCATTAACTCAAGGTCGATTAAGCAGTTACCGTATTCCTTCTAAAAATAAGCACCCCTGGTCTACTGTAACCGTTGATGGAGAGGCTAAGAAAACATTATAAGGCAATTTAACTCCAACGGTGTACGGAGAAATAAATATAAGGCGACTTGAAATTAAAACCTCGTTTAACGTTATCCCCCCCTCCACTTACAGGTCTCCCCCCAAAAATTAAACGATTAATAAAATAAAATAAATAAATATAAAAAAAAAAATTATATGTCAATATTACAAAAGTAAAAAAACGCCCTCGTGAGAATATCAATTCACTGCTTTAATTAGTAAACCAGTTTATAATAAATACGCTTACTATATTCAGGAAATTCAGGATCGTCTAAGCCCAAGTAGTTTTAAAATTGATTACTATAATTGATTAATAGATTAAAATCATGCGTGCCGCCAAGGGAAAAGGGCCTCCGTTTTTTAATAAATTATTATTGAATCAATAATTTACTAAAAAACGGAGGCACTTTTTCCTTTGGCGGCACTCAAATATAAAATACTATCTGGCTTTAGACAACTCCCTGTATTCTGTCTTTAAGTTAATTAATAATATTGTCTCTTAATTTTGAATTCGCTGACAATTTCTGTAATACTAGTATATGCGTTACAAAAAAATGATTTTTCCTTTTGTAACAGTAAGATGAGATAATAAAACAATTCTTCCGGCTGCACTATTTGAAGTAGATGAAAGTTTTACTTTTGAACATTTACTTTATCAGGCAGATAGTGAATACGTTCCTGGAGAGAATGTTAAAGTTGAGATTCAGGTTAAGAGTACAAATACATGGCACAATGTTGTGTCTGGTATAAATGGAAGTTTAAAGCTGTGTACACGAGAAGAACAAAATATATCACATATTAGGTTTACTATTCAAGATGAATATCCTAAATCCTCTTCAAGCATTGTTCCTTCTACATATAATGCTTTTAATGAAATGATGAATGCAGCATCCAAAAAAGTTTTGCCTGATTCAAAACTGACAACAAATCGTAATGATCATTTATACAATGATCTTTTAGCACTTTTACGTAGTAATAACCTTGGTTGGGAATATGGAACACATAATATAGCTGGTAAATCATTCGTTAATAAACTTACCTCTCTCCTTTATTATTTGGATGATAAGCATCAGACTCTTAAGTTACGTAGCCTTAAAATACCAACATTTTTTCTTCAATTACCATTATATCAACAAAATACATATTATAAAAATGGATCTCACCATAAAACTACACTAAAGCGTAAAGATTTAGAATTTTATGCTGATAAATTAGAGGAGTGTATTCTAGAACCATGGGCAAGTAAATTATGTTGGAATCAGGTTGTAACTGCTAGTTTAGAACTGTGTTCTGTTGCTCGTACATATGCTAACTATTTAGAGACAGTTAACCAGCATATGCAAAGAATTCAACTTGCATCTGCTCCAGCACGAAGTCCTGAAAATAATAGTAATTTAGAAATACGAACTCCATGTGCAAAAAATGCTATTAAAGAAATATATTTACCAATTGCTGAACATATTAAAGATACAAGCGAATATGAAATTATATCACTTGAAGAATTTTTACCTGAAAACAAAGAAAAACGATTCTTTTATCTATCAAATCTTACTATCGATTCTACAATTATGTTATATCGATATCATCATGGAAATTATTTAGGAACTTTAAATTTTATTTGGAAAATTCTTGAAGATTTTGAATTACGTGATGATACAAAAAATGCTCAAGCAATAATTCGAACACAATCATTATTACCTCAATTTTTTATCCAATATATGAGAAGATATATGTTTGCAAAAGTAAATTTTTTATATATTAATGTGTATTATATTAAAGTATTTAATATATAATGATATTAATAAGTTTTATTTATTAAATAGTATTCTCTAATTACAAAAATTATTCTTAGTGTATTACGTTATTTATATCATGACTTAGTTGGTGACTCTAGTGCTGTAGACAATTCATACTCTGCTGAAGTAGACCAAAGATTAAGAACAATGCTTGAACTTGGTGATCCTGAAATTTGTATTGATATGTGCAAAAATAATGGATTTAAAGGCACTAAATTTGATGAATTTTGGAATGAAATGGAATCTTATTTTAGTGAAAATCTTTTATCAGTACATGAAAGGCGTCATAGCAATATACTTTATTTGCCAAGTTTTATTTCAGTTAGAGATTTAAGAGAATCTATTGTAGAACGATTAGAAAATAAGCATAATGAACATCCACTTTCTAATAATTGTTTAGTACCATCTGATCGCTGGATTTCTTATCAGTTCTGTCCAAAAAATAATTGGTATAAAGCTAGTACACAGTATACAGGACGATTTCAAATTAAATATATGGTACAAACTCGACAATTAAGAAAATCTCATATTGATGTTCACTATTGTCAAGCAATTTTTAAATATATTCAACAATTTGCATCAAAGTGCAGACAATATACATGTCTTATTTTTGCTGATGATAAACACAAAGTACCAATTGGAGAAGAAGTACCAACAAGTACTGGAGTTCGAAATAAAAAATCTGCTACATTAAAACAAACTGAGCTTTCAGCATCTGATCATGATTTTACAAAACTTTCAATAACTTCTTCAGTTTCATTATTTACTAAAATTCCTGAAGATCTGACTCAATCATTTTATGTTGGACAAGTATATATTGCATTAAAAGATACTACTTTTCAAGCTAGTTCAGCTCTTAGACATGCTACAGAATTCTACGATTCAATAGAACAACATTATTATAATGCTGATTCACTACCAGAAATTATTATATTATATACAGATGGAGGGCCTGATCATCGGTGCAATTTTGGATCTGTTCAAGTTTCACTTATTTCACTTTTTTTAAATGGGGATTTTGATTTAGTAATTGCTGCACGTACAGCACCTTTTCATAGTTGGGCAAATCCTGCTGAGCGAATAATGTCTATTCTTAATCTTGGTTTTCAAAATGTTGCTCTTCAACGTGAACAAATGTCTGAAGAGTCAGAATTTATTTTTCAAAAATTACAAACACTAGATGCAATTCGTAAGGAAGCAGAAAATAATTCTACTTTAAAATCTGAATTAAAATTATCAATTGATAAAATACAAAATATACTTTTTGATCGTATTAGAAGATTAAAGTTACATGATGATTATTTTGAAATAAATAATCCAGCATCTGAAGAAGATATTGATACCTTTTTTTAAAGTAATTAATTAATTTAATAAGTATATTATTATATTTCAAATTTACTAAAATTTTTTTTATTATAAAGATAATGGCTAAAATAGATCCAGAATTAGATAAATCAATAACTACAATGAATCAATTACTGAAAAGAAACTTATATCAAGACTTTGTAAAAAGCCATTGCCGTATTAGAAATTACTTGTTTCAAATATAATTTATACAAATTTTTATAATTAAAATTTTAGTTTATTAGCTAACAGCTTATTATATAATATATTAGGTAATGAAATATAACAGACATAATTGCAAAGTATGCAGAAAAGTTCGTATGCCTTATGATGATTTTCAAAGTTTATCTTTTATTCCTGATCCAGATCATTGGAAAACAGTAATATTATATTAAATTTAAATTGTTAACTATTTTTACTAAATTAATTTATTTATTATTAATAGATAAGGACCATTATAAAGAATTTGAAATAATTTATGGCAAACCAACTTTAGAAAGGTTTCGCCCATCAGCAATGAACATAACTATTGATGATGAAATAGGCGAAAAAAGACCAGGTCAATTTGTTAATACAAAAATTAGACGTACTATAACATGTGAATATTGTGGCAAAATGCGATGTATTTATAGTAATATTGCTTTAACAAATAATGAGGAAATCAAACTTCAAACTACTCTTGATGGTCTTTACTATAGTTGTGGATCACAATTGCTACCAGAAGATCATGAACTTTCAGAGCATTTAAGTATTAGACTAAATCTTACCTGTGATTCTCCTATTGAATCAACATATTTTTCATGGCGTCTTAAAAGGTTTGATATTTGTTATTGGTGTGGAGAATCTATAGATCTTATTGAACCTTCTGATACATTGAAAAATGAATGGAAAACTATATATCCATTATGTTCATTTTGTAAAAATAATGGAAAAACATGGCATAAAAGGGCACCTAAAAAATTTAATCAATTAAGTAGTACCGAAGAAAGTAGTAAAACTAATACTACAAATAAAAAACAAAAAACTTAATGTATGAATTATACAATATATTTTATTTTAGAAGAAAATAAACATTTATATTAACATTTTTCTTTAATTAATATTAAGACTTAAAAACAATTTCAAATGCTTAGTTGAGACAAATTCTGGTTAAAATAAAAAATAAATAACATTCTGGTAAATCATCTTTAGGTTTGACTTCAACCTAATTTAGGTTCTGATGAACCTAAGTTTGGTTCACCTGAACCTAGTTTAATTTTATTGTTTGTTTAATTTTTTCCCTCCCCCCCATGCAAATTTTTTAAAAAATAACGTTAAACGAGGTTTTAATTTCAAGTCGTCTAAACTTGGAGAAACGAAGTAGGTCTTTTATAGTTGTTAAAGAACAAAATAGACTATAGGATACTATAACGAAATAATTAAATATCAATTGGGGATGATGAAAGGTGATGCAGCTACAGGTGATGCTATTAGGATATCTTAGCGTTAGTGAGGATGATGAGGTAAAAGCGGACAATGATCAAGTGATATTGGTGATAACTCTAAGTTCACGTGATGGATTAACGGGTCGAATAACCAATCGTAAGTGTCGTTCTCTATCACAATTCCCGCTATGAATAGCAATATCTGATTTCACAAGTCAATTCAGTCCGTTGAATTGATGCTCGAAAGGGTTTATTAAAGTTACCAGTCGAATTCAAAAGAAGTATACACATTTTATTGTTTATTGGAATTCAGGATACTTATATACATTTTATTTTGTTAGAGCGTTTATGCTCAATTTTGAGAGAATTCACTTTAATTAGAACGTATACGCTCTTTCTTGGACGTATACGCTTAATTTGAGCGTATACGCTCATGGCGCAGGGATATATAGATTTGTGTAAGCACGTATACGCGATATTTTGAGCGTATTCGCGATTGCATGGAATAAGCCACCATCAACTACCTTTTTAGTATACTTGATTAAAATATTTACATGAAATGAAGAAAATAGGTTACTGCTATGAATATAGGAATATGGAATTAGAAAAGAACTATATACATAATAATAATAATATATTTAAAAATGGCAAAAAATATGGAAAATTATTAAAAAAAATAGGAAAGAAAAAAATTTTATTCGTTACACTACATTATGCCAAATTTGGCCTGCTTTACAATAATCGTGGTCTGCATTACATGTAAAAAAGGGTGCTTATTTTTGGAGGAATATGGTATGATAATTTTAAGTTTTTATGTATGAATGCTGAAGTTTGTAGCATTCATTTAAGCTAAAAAATTATCGAAAACGGAACAATCCTTCTCGAAATATCACAGCTGTACGATGACTAGGGATGAGAATTATACGGTATAATTAAAATTGTGATATAATAACTGTAAAATCTTTGTAATATACTGTGCTTAATAGCCATACACAAATATTTTATATACTAACACATTTCTTTA